CCCCCCCCCCCCCTCCACCCCCAGATACGTCAAGTGTTACCTGCTGCCTGACATGTCGAGCCGCAGCAAGCGGAAGACGGCGGTGAAGAGGCGGACGCAGAACCCCGTCTTCGAGCAGACGCTTAAAGTGAGACCGCTAATTTCACTCTCACACTCTCGTTTATTAAAAAATAAAAAATGCAGGGGTAGGTGTATCTAATATTGTGGCTGATAGTGCAGATCAAAATACAGATGGCAGCCAATGTGGCAATTTCGATTTATTTATTTTATTGATTTACTTATTTATTTTGGGGGACCAGTACAAAATACGGCAAAAGGAGCTGAATAGTCGCACCCTCAACCTGTCCGTGTGGCACGCGGAGTCCCTGGCCAGGAATGTTTTCCTGGGTGAAGTTGAGGTGGCGCTGGGCCTGTGGGACTGGACCTGCACACAACCGCTTTGGCAGGACCTGCAGCCGCGGGTAACACACACACACACACATGCACACATTGTGGCCAGTTCAGTAGGAACATCAGCACAATAATTTTTTGACACCGTTTTATGGCGATAATCGAAATTTTTTTTTTGGGGGGGGGGGACTCCTGGACACGCACAAATCGACCCTCTATTGGCCACTTTGAATCAAAATGGCCGTCTTTGTGTATCTTGTTTTTTTTTCTTTTTTTTGATGGACTCCTGATGGTCACACCTACCAAATTTCACATTGTTCAGTCAAACTAATTTCGGAGGCTGATTTTTTATTTTTAAAACAAGTAGTTTTACGCTTGCCTTTTTATAGAGTAAAAAAAAAAAACATTTAGATTCCAAACCAGTCCGTGCGATCCAGTGAAGCTCTGTTCAGGAGTTCCCTAATGAAGTGGCCTGTCACGTCATCATTCTGCAGCCTCGCCGGTCGTCTGCCCGTGGATGGACGACGGCGCCCTCTGTGAATTTCAGCTTAGCTTCTTTTCTCTCATCTTTTACGTGACAGTTCTACCTGAGGCCCGACTGCGTCAGCAGCCGCGGCACCCTCCTGTTCTCCATCAAGTTCGTCCCGGAGGGATTTGAGGGTGAGCAAAGCCAATTTCAGACTCCTGTGTCTTTCAATGATGATATCTCCTTTTGTGCGCGCTTTCCAGGCGGTCTGCCACTCACGGGGGAGCTTCACATTTGGCTTCAGGAGGCTCAAGGTCTGCTGTCTAAAAAAGGGGGCGCCGTCGACTCGTTTGTCAAAAGGTGTGTTGGCTCGCCCTTGCGTTTGTTTCGGCCGCACGAGGGCAGCGGTTTGTCACAGTAAAAACCGGCAAGGAGCGTCTCCGTAGCGTTTTGAAAAAGCTTCCTCCCAATAGTTTCTCACTCTTTCTGTTCTTTAGTTATCAGCAGTAGAACATGGGTTGGGTTTGCCAAAAACACCAATTTATGACCAAAAAGCGGAAAAAATTGGATTTTTGTTCGAAATGTCAAGCATTTTTTTTTTTGCACCAACACAATCTACTAATGACTGCGACTCATTTCTCTCCCTCAGAATTGTGTGTCACGCCGAATGTCGATCTCAACGCTGATCTGAAATGCAAAGCGATCTCCCGGGATCTGTCAAATCATGACCGGTGTTTTGGACGAAACCAGCCAGTGTTCTGCCGCTGATTAGACAATGAAAACCTGAAAGAGTTTACGCTTTGTTTTTGGTAGGTCATATTTTGTGGGCCTTGAAAGATGAGTCCAAAAAAATATAAAAATGGCTGGCAGTAGGGAGAATTCCGCAAACAGTAGTGTATTTTGTGTCCCATCCTTGGGCCAATTTGGAATGTCCAATCAACCTTCCGTGCATGTTTTTGGAATGTGGGAGGAAACCGGAGTACCCAAAGAAAACCCACCGAGGCACGGACGGGGGAGAACATGTCAAATCCACACAGGGAGGGTGTGGGGGTCACCGACCCCAAAAGTGGGTGAGACTGAACTAAGGTGACTCAGCACCAGAGTGAAAACATGTTTAACCATTTTTTGGGGGGGGGGAAATATCCCTTCATTGTTTTGCTTTCTCAGAGTTTTTAGAATGGGAGCGGTTTCTTCAAACTATTTTTGAGCATGTCTATCCACATGCGTGATCCACAACAACAACAACAAAAAAACCCCCGCCCAGCTTGGAAGGAGTTAATGCTTGCTTTTTTTTGCCCCCCCCCCCCCCAAAAAAAAAGTTACATTCTACCGGACGTTGGCTGTCAGAGTGGCCAGAAGACGCAGGTGGTGAAGCGCTCCATCAGCCCATCGTACAACCACACCATGGTGTATGACGGCTTCCAGAGCAGCGACTTGGAGGAGGCCTGCGCCGAGCTTAGCGTGTGGCAACGCGAGGGCTTCAAGCAACACATGATCGGCGGGATTCGCCTCAGCTGCGGAACCGGTAAGACCCATTTTTTTGGGGGGGGGGAACCACCACAAAACTGTACTAACCACATCGTCTGGCCTGCAGGTCAGAGCTACGGCGAGACGGTCAGGTGGATGGACTCCACGGAAGAAGAAGTCTCAGTGTGGACGTCCATGATCAAAAACCAGAACCACTGGATCGAAGCCACCTTGCCCATCAGAACGAACCTGACGCACCGCTCGTCTGATTGACATTTTTTGTTTGTGTCCACCGCCCATGGTCAGAGAACACGTTCTTGTTACATATGTTAGTCCCTTTTTTAAGAATTCCCTCCCGCGGTAGATATTGTAAATGAGCTGTAGAATATGCTTGGATGTTCTTATTTTGTTGTTTGCAAAAGACAGCTGTGACCATGCGATCGCTGTGTCATTAAACGCGGGAACCCGTTTTTCCTGCTTGCTCATTAAAGGTGAATCGGTGCTGAAAATGTAAGTGGATAGTCATGTACAAAAAGTTATGTCTCGTCTACATTGTATTTTCGGGTGATTTAAACTTTGTAAAAATGTATTTTTCCAACTTAAAAATAATGGCGGGGGGGGGGTTAACTTGAAACCACACTGTAATTGTAGTTCACATGCCTGGCCTCTAGGGGGTGGTATGACTAGTTCCACTGTTCCAAGTTTTGCCTCGTGCCCATTATTCGGCTTTGATTTTGAATTGAAAATCAAATTATTAGACCTCTGCTGACTCATTTTCGACAACGAACGAGAAAATAAAGCCGTGTTTAAATTTGAATGTTACTGTATTAAACAAAACTCGAGTTCTTACAATTTTCCAAACGATAGATATTCAAGTACCAAGAGGCATTGGGAAGCTATTTTAGTAGGGTGCACATGTCACCACAGGGTGTCGCTGTTGCCACGTATACTGTATCTACATTAGTGATGGGATTTTCGGCTCTTTTCGGTGATCCGGTTCATTTGGATCGGCTCAGTGAAAAGAGCCGGCTCTTTTTGGCTCTCAAAAGGCTCTTTTAACTTTAGCTTTTCTTTTAAATATTTATGACAAATTTAGCATACATTTTGATAAATGACTTGGTGAACTAAATATTGCACTCTACTGACTGCAAATAGCAACAATTATCAAGCAAAGAAATGGCTTTTTACTTATTTTATTGAACTTTAAAAAGGCTCCAAACAATAAACAAGCAACAAAATTAAACTTCAACCAACAACAATCAAACATGCTGCATCATAACAAAAATAGTGAGTATTAACTGCAACAGCAGCAGTGAACAAAACAAACATAAGCTACTCCTTGGTTTATTTTAACAAACAAAATCTACTCCTTGCTTTTATTTTAAATTTGCAGTGAACAAAACTAAATACTTCAACTTGGAATACTTCAATTTGTCCAGTCTTTGGGAACACCCTCTCTGACGGGACAGATGTTGCGACAATGCACAATCTACTCTCCATTACTTTGATCAAACGGGGGTAGACGGAAGCTCGGTATTTCCACCAGCTCAGTGGATCAGCTGCCCTTGAAATCTGTGGTTCTTCAAGATATGCCCTAATTTAGTGTTTTGTGTTTTTGCACGCTTGGCTAATACTGTAAATTAGATTCAGATTGCTTGCCAAACGCCTTTGTGATTTCTCGGATAGTAGGGGGCGATATGAACTAAAGACATCCAATTCACCAAGAAGAAGAATAAGTACAAGCACAAGAACGGTACCACATCCGGTTCAATGAGCGAAACCGAAGTTTTTCCGCTGTCCACAAGCCCTGTTCTCAGTGAGTAATTTTAACATTTTAAACTGACTTCGCAGTTTATCGCTGAGTGTGTATATGTCGACAATTGGGGAGAGTTCTTAGGACACGTTGCTCCTTTAATTTTGTTGTTGTGACTCAACGTAAAAAACAACGTCAGCAAAGGGGGCAGTGAACGAGCACGCCGCCGACAAGTAGACCTCAGCTGTCAATCAAAAAGCAATTGCGAACAGCGTTTGACTTGAATACTATTCTGTATATTTTCCACACCAAAGCTGCTGTCAGCAGTGGAAGTGTGATGGCTTCACATCAGGGGGGGGCAGATTTGTTTCAAAACTATTCCCACAAATGCACCCGTGACTTTGTTCATTTGTTTTTCGAAAAGAAGTTGCTCATTGTACTTTAGGTGTGGGGAGAGAGCCGCGAGCGGATCTCTCAAACAGATGCATTGCGAGTGCGGGCACGTTTGGAAATGGACGGCTTGAAAGTAAAAGTCTGCCACTTTACAAATAATGACTCAAATTAAAAATAAAAAAGAGAAAACTTTTTTATGGACTACAGTGTGTGACTTTCCCCTTTTGTTTTGTTTTTCTGCCTGACCAGATTAGTCAGATGACTGGGCCAAAGGCGCAGCCGCCAGACTCGGAGGACATGCGGAAGGGACGCCAACCTGCATTTGGACACGCGTGAGTACTGAGCTGTGTGGTGTGCTTCAAGCGCTGATGTCTGAGGTCACGTTGCACCACAAGGTGGAGGGGAGTGTGCCCGCCTGTCCGTCTCTCACTCAACTTAAACTTCTGCTTCGTGTACTGCACAACAGTGTCAACTCCACATAGACAACCCGAGCATCATCAAGCACTTCTGGAATATGTTTTTAAACCTTGAAGTGGACCAAGTTAGTCTAAAAATGTGTCTATGTATGCATAAAAATGTATATAATATATACATACATATGATTAACTTGGCTCACTTCAATGTCATTTAAAAACTTGACCAGAAGAGTGTGATCATGTTGTTGTGGAGTACACGGCAGTTAATTTTTGTCTCAGTGAGAGAAGTCGGACTTGCTCATGTCCCCCTTGGTGTGTCATGAGATGTCAGTGACATCACGCATGAGCTGGTCAAGCACATGCTCCCATCTCAGGTCTGTCGTCAGTGTTTGTGTGCGTGCAATTTGAACTGGCACACACAAAGATTGACTGGTCAAATACTTTACCATTGTCATGTTTGCTTTTCGGTCCAATAAATTGTTCAACTTGAATTCGAGTCTTTGCCTACCATGACCAAATCCATCCTCAACTCACTCGAAGCCTTTTCAAAGATTGAAGTCTTGAGCTCAGACTTGCGCTTCAGTCACATCAGACAGTCTTTTCACTGTTCCCGTTGGTCTCCACATGACTTGAAACTCCAGGAATCGAGCTTTTGGGTCATGTGAAACAGTCTGATGTGACCCAAGTGCAAGTCTGAGCTCAAGACTCAAGTGGAATTTTGAAAAAGTGCTGCAATGCCCACCCCAAACCACACTCAATTTGACATCCACCAATCGCGGTGAGGCCCCTCATTTGCATAACCCCGGCCCTAGTTTGCATAACCACGCCCGCTTTCCAAATTCGGACGAATTAGATTGCTCCAAATTTGCATAACCACGCCCAAAGGGCCCACCAATCAGAGAACACATAATTTGCATAACCACTCCACTTTCCACCAATCACAGCATGTTATCGTCATGCTCCACCCACTTTCACAGCAATCAGCGAACCATCAGCCATCATTCCACTTGTAAGGCGTTTTAACCCAAAAATAACGACCATGTATAGTAAGGCGTTTTTTGTTGAAAAAAACGACCATGTATAGTAAGGCGTTTTGAGCCGAAAAAAAACGACCATGTATAGTAAGGCGTTTTTAGCCGAAAAAAACGACCATGTATATAGTAAGCCGTTTTTTGCCGAAAAAAACGACCATGTATAATAAGGCGTTTTTATGGTAAAAAAGATAAGCATGTGTACTGAGGTTTTTTTTTTTTTTTTTTTTAAATTTCCAAAATGTGGATTGATAATCACAGAACCATCTGAACATGGAAATGCCACACAGGCAGGACGGAGCTGGACGCGCACCCTGAACCTCTTTGCTGGGAAGGCGACGCACTCACCAGTTGGCTAGCGGGCTGACTTCTTCTCGACTTTTTTACGACTCGACCAGAATGCACGAAATCGGGATTTGTCAGATTGTGAAAATATCAAAGTGTTATATTCACCTGTTGAGCATGTTTTTGGGGTGGAGGAGAAAACTGCAGTTGCTCAAGAGCCAGAGCCGGGATTGAACCTTGCACCTCTGGGCTGGGAAGCCGATGCACGAACCAGAAGGCCACAGGTACCTATGTGCAACTCAGTGTAGTTCTCTGATATACTTCTCTCAAGACCAATGTTGCAATGAGGAAAATGTCTCACCATATTCAAGTCACCATCTAAACATGAAAGTGCCACATGTGAAGGCTGGAGCTGGATTTGAACCGCACACCTATACGCTGGGAAGCCGACACACGAACCAGTTCGCCACCGGGGTGCCTTCTTCTCAATGACCTTGTTGCGACTCCACGAGAAAGCACTTTATAGTGGTGTGTCAGATTCTGAAAATATTAAAGTTCTATTAAACTGCTTGGCATGTTTTTTGGGGTGTGGGAGGAAACTGGAGTTCCTGGTGACCCCCGATGCAGTTGCCACACAGGAGAACCAGAACCGGATTTGTACCCTGTACCTCTGCGCTGTGAAGCCGATGCACAAACCTCAGTGAACCTCAGTGGAGTTCTCTGATATACTTCTCTGATGGCCAATGTTAGAGCAAAATGTCTGAGATTTTAAAAGTAAAGGCAATTCTACCTGAAAAAAAACCAACCATGTATCAGAAGGTGTTTTTCACATCCAAAAAAACTATCATGTATAGTAAGCAGTTTTTAGCTAAAAAAAACGACCATGTCTCGGAAGGCGTTTTTCGCCCAAAAAAACGACCATGTATCGGAAGGCGTTTTTTTAGCCAAAAAAAACGACCATTTATAGGAAGGCGTTTTTAGTCGAAAAAAACGACCATGAATAGTAAGGCGTTTTTAGCCGAAAAAAAAGACCATGTATGTAAGGCGTTTTTAGCTGAAAAAAAACGACCATGTATAATAAGGCGTTTTTAGCCGAAAAAAAACGACCATGTATAGTAAGGCGTTTTTAGCTGAAAAAAAACGACCATGTATAGTAAGGCGTTTTTAGCCG